AGTCTGTCACTAGTGTGCATGATGAAGAGAGTGATGAGAAGAGGGAGTGAGGGTATGGGGGGTGCAGTGGCCTAGAGTTTTGCTGACCAAGAGTTCGGCTCCGGCGAGAAACTACACCACCCCGGTAAGAAGAGCATAGCAAAGAGCCGGAAAATGGCGCTGCCCAATGTTCCGTATCTTTCCACTTGCTCATTTATCGATGTGTCAAGGTTACCCGGCGAATCCATTGATCCAGGGTCAGCTTCCTCGGCTTCGCGTGATTCCAATCCCGCTTCTTTATTTTGTATTTGATATTTTTTAGGTACTGGTGTGGCCAGAGTGATTATTGAGCAGATTCCGACGAGCAGTGCGAAGTATGCGTAGATTATTGCGGAGCAGTGCATTTTTTTCACCTCATCATTTAATAGACGACACTACTCTTACTTCTCTACTCGTACGTACAACTATATAGCCGACCTATGTGCTAAGAATTATGTGCCTCTTCTCTGGTTATTATTGCGTTGCTTACCTAACCAAGCCGCCAACGAATAGTGAGAATTATTTATACTGTACTACGATTCGCGATTTCCTTCGGTTCAGTTCCAAATACTGTATATGAACCGCAAAACGAACTTCAGAACGTCATTTTTGTGCCCAAGTGAATATGCATTTATAGCACAATATGTAGTGAAATAATCTTCCGAAGCGATTTGCAGAAAATTGCGTACAAAATCACGTACACAGTTCGGAATTCGCGATGAAATTCACGACCACACGACGTGGTGCATTTTAGGAGATACAGTAATGAAAAATTTCAATTTATGAACGGCTAATGCACGAGGGATGAAGAGCTTTTGTTACCTTGACAGTTCTGATGTGAACACAGTATATTCTCGTGATTGAATAAAAGCAGAGCTGCTGAAAGCAAATGAAAGTGTTTTTTTGACGGTGGAGCACATCCAACACTCATGGGGAGAATCGTTGACGAACTGCGCGTGTATATACCTTTAGGTTTTCAATTTCGGAGGACTGAATTACAGTACTTATCATCATAGTGCGCGTGATACTGAGGATATACTGTAAACGTTTGAAGCTGCTGTTAATGGAGTGACACTGCTATCGACGAAAGCTTCGTTGTATATACTGTATATGGTGCAATATTTTTCGACTTTTTTCTTGAGTACAACAAATACACGTTTCTGTCGTCTGTTAGGCTTTGCGTGTCTTATTATTAATCCACGTGACTTCATTGTCATATGTTCGTTTTCTTCGTCGTTTTTCGTCAATAATGAAATATTTCCGACCGTATTTTCAGTCGAAACTTCTTTAACTGCTGGTATAGTAACACTGTAACTCTCTCATATAATAAGATTACGGTCCGACCACGAGTTATTTGTAGGAATAAAACATTCAGAAAACGACGCACTGTATATAATGTAGAACAAATGGTAAGCACAAATCCCAAAAATGAAACACACAGCATATTAGTTGATCTAATTAGTCTCTGCACAGTCAGAACTCTGAAGTATACACAAAACTCGAATTCTCCAAAATGCACGGAGCTCAAATTTAATGACATTTCTTCTAATAAGTTATTTTTATACTGTACATACTGCGTTAATATGCACCTCATTTTCTTAGCGGATTATTGTTTTATTTTTCTTTATCTTAACGCGAGACGTTTCGATCGGGGAATTGATCGCTTTTCTGAATTCATCAAATTGTTTTGTTTTAATTTTTTGCTGTTTCATGACAACGATTATTCATGGCGTCTTGGAAAACACTGGCATATAAGATTGCGCTTGGTTTCAACTGAGACATATTTCTTGTGGTATGCTGTTATTTGTTCTTTGCCAAATGATGTAATTTTTTTTTGTTTGAGTTTATGGGAACCTTGCCCTTAAAAAGACGTATTGTCTCATTGTCAAGACTGCGGGACAAAAGAAACCGCACGGATTATGTTTAAAAAAGTTCTTGATCTTCTATCATTTATTTTGGGCATCATTTGTCTGGTTAAAACTAATGACACTTCATGAAAAAAGTATTTACTGTACAGTATATTTGCTCAAGCCTTGATAAACCACCACCATTTGTTTGTGAGGTTTGTGGAAGTTTAATTGGGTTGGTGGTTCATCAGCAGAAAAGCTAAAATAATTTGAAAATCAACTATAATGAGAATTAAAATTCGTAGTCTTCTAGAAAGCAATCAAAATAACCCTGTGATGAGAAAATTACAACCTAGCTAATGTTCCCAGGAAATAATTACTTCATCTTTGTGTTTATGTGTGTGTGTGTGAAAAATATAAGAACGTCTGAAGAACGTCTTTGAACTTAGAAGAACAGATAGTATAGTTTCGGTTTTAATTAACTTTCCTTGTATGACTTAAAACCACCTAACACAATATGTCATGAACTACCCCAAACCAATGCTTCTGTCATTAGGAAAGATTTGTTTTTCAAAATGAGTTGTTTGTTACCAAGGGTGGCAGCTTACTGCTGATGGAGGATATTTTCAATAATTGTGCAGCAAAGTTGGAATATTTTTGCAAAATGTTGTGCCACTGAGCATTTTAAATTTAAAAAGGCTACTTCTGTATTGAGGCCTAAGTTGGGAAAAGTCCAGTACTTTTTTCTAATCCTTCAGAAAATATTGAATAAAGATTTTTAAAAATCCTGCACTGGGTGGCAATTTTTCTTGCATTCATGGCATAGGATTTGCATGAGAGATTCCTGAAAACAATAGCAAATTTGCCTTCTGGATTTTCCCCAACTTAGGCTTTGTCAACCTGGGAGAGCATTCCAGTGACTTCCGGTCAAACAAATGTGCTGCCCCTGGACAAATCCCCAATCCACTGCTTGATATGCAAGGATGTTCTCTTTGTAAAAACTTTTATTTTGTCCCATAGGGTACTATATTCCCATGCTACCTGCTCTTTACAACAAAATTCTGTCTACAGCAAATGTTTGGTTTAGAGAGAGTCCATCTGCTGTAGTATGTGTTCTAATTATTATCAGCCATTGATGCTGCATTTATTTTGAAATTTTGAGAAGATGAGTGTTTCTTGGTTTTACATCTAATTGTTTGATGTAATCAAAACTATGCAAATTGGAAGACAATTAAATTTTACAACCTGATGTGTTCAGGTTGGTATGAAGTACAGTACAGGTGGTACCTTGCAATTTGACCCTAATCTGTTGCCAAACTAGGGTAAAATTGCAAAACACTCCTTGAAATTTGAAATTGTAAGTTTAAAAATGCAAAAGAAATGGCCAAAGCAGGTCAAATTAATCATTCTATTGGCCATTCTAGAACATATTTTTGTAATTTTGGGTGCTTGATGCTTCTGAGTTTTATGTCCAATCTTTTTGCATAACCAAGTGGGAAGAAATATAAATTGTATAACCTGTGTTTTGGTTGCATGGTAATAATGTCTATATAATTATAAATCGTTGCATTGTGTTGCCCTCAGCAGTTCAATAGATTTCGTCAAAACTTTTATTTTTGACATGCATTGAATAATGTTTATACCAGAGTCGATATTTTCATCGAAAATTCTTTCACAATACTGTATTCACATTTCTCAAAAAAATCAAACAAACGATACAGTGTTCATATCAAGTAACAATTGATGCACCACTCATCAGTTTAACCTGCATGATAACACTGGTTTCAGCGAACCCAGCACTTGCAGCAAAATATCCTGCCCTTTTTCAGCAACATTCTGCTTAACCGTGGTACCCGTAGTGAACACAGTCGTGATACTGGTACGAGTAGTAGTACGGATATCCGCAGTTGTGCTGGGTACCACCGGTATTTTTCTGACGCAAGAATATTCTAGCAAAGAGCCGGAAAATGGCGCCCCCCAAGGTCTCGTATCTTCCCAATTGCGCATTCATCGGTGTGTCAAGGTTACCCGGTGAATCCATCGTCCCAGGGTCTTCATCTTTGGCGACTTGCCGTGATTCCAACTCTGTTTCTTGCTCCTGATGGGTTCCGTCTTCTGGTATCGGTGTGGCCTGAATAATTGAGCAGATTCCGACGAACAGTGCGAAGTATACGACGATTCTCGCGAAGCTGTGCATTTTAGGCGCTATCTGTATTCTGCAGAATAGAGACCGAAGAAATATAATGAGTGCATTGTTACGGCGGCTGCATGATTCATGTCCTGCGCAAAGATATCAGTTATACGCTACAAATATAGGTACAGTAATTAAATACAGTAGTTTCAATAAATGAGCACCGAAGAGAATATTGCATTATTTAGCAATGAGACTTGCCCTGATCGTCAATCATGGGTTCGAATCAATAAATATATTCGTCTGCGATGCAGCACGTGTGTAATGGCTATATGTGATCGCGAGAATGTGTTACGTGATCAATTAGTGGAACGATCGCTCGAAATCTGAGCAAAATTTCGATGATCAATATTCGCTTTTTTCGCCAGGCGTGTCATTTTTGAAGATGCTATAGATTGATACCGAACAGTATTTTTTGCAGCGGACGAGAGACGAAGTNGAAGTCAGTCTGGATTTAGTGGGACCTGTTCCCATTAGTGGTGCAGGAAATCGTTACATCCTAGTGACTCAGGATAGATTATCTAGATGGATTTCGTTCATCCCATTGAAAAACGCTACCGCTGAGGAACGTCAAACAACACCAAGATTGACTGCCTGATCGGGCACACAACACCCACAGTTGCGGCGGCCGCCCAATGACTGTACGACGAAGGCTATCACAACTATGACGACATCGCCGAGCGGCTCAAAATACAATTCGGGCTCTCGCCCTTCGAACATTTCACGCGATTCCTCGCCCTACGCCCACTCGAAGACGAATCATGGGCACAGTTCGGGAACCGTCTACGATGCAAATACATTCGCTATCTACCACTCAGCGCAACAGACCTACCTGGGCAAGAAAAATCCATCACAGCGGCCCTCATCGGGCAACTACTCGCGATCACCACCGGAGGGCTCCACGCCCACCTCTACTCCAAGGCGACCGCCGATCGTACCCTAACATGGGTCAACTGCCTGGCATACGCGGACAAATACCGCCGCATGCACCCAATACTCCACGAGCATCACCCGCTCCACAAACCCAACAACAAACCAACCGCCGACCAAAAACTACGGCGTCCGGCGTACAAAAACACTACTGTGATCATCACCAACGGTACGTCCTACACACAACCGCAGAATGCTCGCTTGGGCAGAACTCACGGCCCAACACGGCCACGGGTAACCAATCACCACGAAACCTGCAATCGTGTACCTATCACCCAGGCCGCCTAGTCGCACACTCGACGGCGGAGTGCCGAAACAACCCGGCCAACCAGGTAAACTCGCCTAACACACAAACAGTCCAGCCGACTAAATGTGTACAATGCGGACTTACAGGTCATACGGCGGCAAACTGCCCAAACCAGGGAAACGCCAAGATTGGGCAGTGACGGCTGTCCTCTGCTCGATCCCCCAAGCTACAGACAACAGCCTCACGATCATCATCGGTATCAAGAACAAACGCGTCACAGCACTGATCGATACTGGAGCCACCAGGTCATTCATGGCGACCAACGTCGCAGCAGAAGTAGGGCTAACACCCCACCCGATGAAAGCAAAGATCTCCGCAGCCGTCTTACACATCTCCGCCGACATCAGCCACTCGGTAAGTACCACATTCTCTCTTGGTTCAGCCGACTACTCCGCGACCTTCTTTCTCCTCGCAAACGTGAGATATCCCATAATTCTCGGCCTCGACACGCTGAAAAACCTCCCGTTTTGTGTAACGCTCGATGGCCAACGAATATTCTCTGGATTCCAAACTATAAAACCCATAAACGAAGTACCACAAGCCGAACCCGGCGAAGGAATTACGTTCGTAAACGGCTCTCCCGCAGAACAAAACGCGATCGCGAACCTCCTGACCACATACAAGGACAACATCTTCCAGTGGTCAGGAAAACACGGCCTGTTCCCCCAACACATCGCATCCATCCCAACGAACGGCCAAGACCCTGAGCCACCGAGACGCATACGCCTGTCGCCCGACAAAATACCAGCAATGACAGAAATCCTCGCCAACTATACAAAAGCTGGCATCATCGAACCGGCACAGTCCACGGTCAACTCACCGGCATTCCTCACGCCGAAAGACGACAACCCAAATGCACCGGCAATCCGAAGATGGCAACTAGTCGAAGACTACCACGAAATCAACAAGGTCATACTCGCAGACAACTACCCGATGCCGGTAATCCAAGACATCCTCGACGCCCTGGGCAGACAAAACTCATACTTCTGCTGCCTGGATCTGCACTCTGGGTATCACCACATACCCATAGCTCACGGCGACCGCCACAAAACGGCATTCACAACCCCGACCGGGCAAATGCAATATACAGTCATGCCGTACGGCCTCAAAACCGGCCTGGCCATATTTCAGAGGACCATGGAGACAATACTCCGTCAGCACCTCTACAGCCAATGTCTCGTGTACATAGACGACATCATCGTCTTTGGCGCTACATTCGACCAAGTGCTACAGAACCTCTCCGAAGTGTTACACACCCTAGCGACCGCAGGGGCATCCATCGACATCTCCAAGTCCAAGTTCTTGGCAGAATCTATTCATTTCCTGGGTCACATTGTCGACAAAACCGGGACGCGACCAGCCGAGGAACACCTCAACGCAGTCCAAGCGTTTCCCAAACCCAAAACCACAAAACAAATGCAAAGGTTCCTAGGCCTCGCAACGTACCTGCGCTCGCATGTACCAACAAACTTCGCAAATCTCGAAAAGACCCTTCGAAACATGATACCCGTGAAACCATCCACAACACTCAAATGGACACCCGAAGCGGACGCCACCTTTGAGGCCCTGAAGCAGGCGATCGCCAACGCCACACGCCTGGAAAGGTTCGAACCACAGTGGGACACAGAAGTACACTGCGACGCCTCGGCCACCGCCATCGGCGCAATCCTAGTGCAGATAGACCATGACGGACAACCACACATCATCGAGTACGCCAGCCGAGTCCTAACACCGGCAGAGACCCGCTACTCTAACACCCAAAGAGAACTGCTAGCGGCAGTGTGGGCGACAACCAAAAAGTTCCGACACTACGTCAAACACCGACAATTCAAAATTGTCACGGATCACAAGGCATTACTCGGAGAATTAGTCGANCACCCGACTCATCGCCCTCCGACTAAAACTGGAACCATTCCAGCATACGTTCGTACACCGACCGGGCAAAACCCTCACGGGTCCAGACGCACTCAGTCGAATCCAGCTGAACAGCATCCAACTCCGCAAAGTACCCGATCCAGGGCAGCGCGCAGAGATCATTGACCAATATCATGTGGAAATGGGCCACACTAACTGGAAGAAAACCTTCGATACAATTCGCAGAAGATTCACCTGGCCCGGCATGCGCACCGACATCTTCCATCATGTCCTGCAATGCGCCAAATGCTTCACGTTCAACTCGGCGACTGCCGCAGTCGGAACCAAACTCACACCGGTCCCGCCCGCAGACAAACACGACCGCCTAGGCGTCGACTTCTGGGGACCCTTCCCTCCATCGACAAAAGGGAACCGTTACGATAATAATTCGCGTATATTCGCGTAATTTAGACGCGATTGACTACTACTCACGCAGAGTGGTCACCACACCTGTCAAACGGGCAACAGCGAACGCCCTATGCAGTTTCCTAGCAGACGTATTCGCCCAAATGGGAACGTTCGAAATTATCCACTTGGATGGAGCAGCGGTGTTCAACTCGGCGCCGTACAAGAGATTCATTACAGCAAACCAGATTGCGTCCCACATCGCCCAGCCATATCACCCAGAAGGCAATGGCGCTTGTGAGAGAGCTATCAAATCGCTGTCAGCAATAATAGCCAAAACAGCATCAACACCCACCACGTGGGATGAAGTCCTACTCGACGCAGTGATCGCATATAACCGTACGCCTCACACGGCCACCGGTCTACCGCCCATCGAACTCTGGCACCAAAAGCCAATCCCCACCCCCGCCGACATAAAATTTGAGATACCCAACAGGGACATATCCCAGGAACTCAAACTAGTCAAAGCACGCCACCAAAAATACCGCAAACGGTACATCAACCAAGCCAATAAAAACCGCCGGCCCGCATTTAAGCTCGGCCAAATGGTTACCCTCAGGCCACGCCTAAAAACAACAGAAAAACATGCAGCCAACCGGCGATTTTTACCAAAACGCTTTGGCCCCTTCCGTATCACGGCAGTCCTGGGCGAAGCGAAATATCGCATCCAGACTCCAATCGGCGATAGACAGGCAAACGCCTGGGAGTTACAACCCTATAACTTCCCCGTCGCGCCACCCCTGACCATACCAAAGCATCTAGTCCAACAAAAAAGTACAAATTCTTTCTGTTCACAGGATATCGACAAAACCGACCGGCCTCAATTTCGCCTTGACCCTGGGACACTCGACACTACGAGCAAAACCGACGACAAAGCCCAGCCCGTGACAAGCTCCCCCGCAGCGCGTCCAGCATGCAACGACCCCAATACGGGCCCAGCCACACCAGGCCGCGATCTGCCACGGACTCCCACAGGAACGTCGCCAATATCGAGCGTCAACATTCCACAATTCGACAGCCCTCCCCAGCAACCGACACCGTCGCCTCATCCAGATCTGACAACCGACGCAAACGCCGCCGATTCCCCAGCTCCAGTAGCTCCGAATCGTCAGTGGAGGAAGCGCCAAAGGACATCAAGCCCCGCCGCCGGACCCTCGCACAACCCCTCGATGGCACCGGACCCATCACCGACAACGACAACTAGCCACAGCCACCGGACATCAACAGGATCTCCAAACGCCCAAGGACCTTGACCGAAACGCCGCCGCCGACGGCCCTCGCGATATCGTCAGCCTTGGCCTCCTCCTCCCTTGTTTTTTCGCCGCCGCCGGCACCTTTCTTTTTTGGGGGGGGAGAGTACGACCCCTGCGCGGGCCCATAGGCGCCGCCATCATGGCCCGCGCAAAAGGCCTAAACGCGACATCAACTGTTTTTTCTACTTTGTGACGCCGCACCAATCAGAACCGGCTGACGCAATGTACGCACGCGCTTGCGTCAACCGACTCGCGCCCGTACCCCGGAGGCCTAAGAGAGCCTCACTTTGTCTATAGCTCCCGAACCGAACGGTCGTCACGCAAACCAGTGCCTTTTATCGTGAGTACTGTGTATTGTCGAACTTATAATCCGCTACCTGAGTGATTGCAATAAACCGCTACCGTTGTGTTCTACTCTGTGTATGTGTTAGTGCAAGAAGGTGCCTGCACCTGATTGTGTGTGTAGAGACGTTTAAGTCTTACTATACTGAGGATATACTGTAAACGTTTTGAAGCTGCTGTTAATGGAGTGACACTGCTATCGACGAAAGCTTCGTTGTATATACTGTATATGGTGCAATATTTGACTTTTTTCTTGAGTACAACAAATACACGTTTCTGTCGTCTGTTAGGCTTTGCGTGTCTTATTATTAATCCACGTGACTTCATTGTATGTTCGTTTTCTTCGTCGTTTTGTTTTCGTCAATACAGTAATGAAATATTTCCGACCGTATTTTCAGTCGAAACTTCTTNTGTACAGTATATTTGCTCAAGCCTTGATAAACCACCACCATTTGTTTGTGAGGTTTGTGGAAGTTTAATTGGGTTGGTGGTTCATCAGCAGAAAAGCTAAAATAATTTGAAAATCAACTATAATGAGAATTAAAATTCGTAGTCTTCTAGAAAGCAATCAAAATAACCCTGTGATGAGAAAATTACAACCTAGCTAATGTTCCCAGGAAATAATTACTTCATCTTTGTGTTTATGTGTGTGTGTGTGTTTTTATATTCTTGCAGACTTCTTGCAGAAACTTGAATCTTCTTGTCTATCATATCAAAGCCAAAATTAATTGAAAGGAACATACTGAATTTTGGTGGATTGTGTTATACAGTACTTGATGGGGTTTACAATGCTTCTGTCATTAGGAAAGATTTGTTTTTCAAAATGAGTTGTTTGTTACCAAGGGTGGCAGCTTACTGCTGATGGAGGACATCTTTAATGTTTGTGCAGCAACGTTGGGATATTTTTGCAAAATGTTGTGCCACTGAGCATTTTAAATTTAAAAAGGCTACTTCTGTATTGAGGCCTAAGTTGGGAAAAGTCCAGTATATTTTCTAATCCTGCAGAAAATTTTGAATAAAGATTTTTTAAAATTTTGCACTGGGTGGCAATTTTTCCTGCATTCATGGCATAGGATTTGCATGAGAGATTCCTGAAAACAATGGAAAATTTGCCTTCTGGATTTTCCCCAACTTAGGCTTTGTCAACCTGGGAGAGCATTCCAGTGACTTCCGGTCAAACAAATGTGATGCCCCTGGACAAATCCCGAATCCACTGCTTGATATGCAAGGATGTTCTCTGCGTAAAAACTTTTATTTTGTCCCATAGGGTACTATTCCCATGCTACCTGCTCTCTGCAACAAAATTCTGTCTACAGCAAATGTTTGTTTTAGAGAGAGTCCATCTGCTGTAGTATGTGTTCTAATTATTATCAGCCATTGATGCTGCATTTATTTTGAAATTTTGAGAAGATGAGTGTTTCTTGGTTTTACATATAATTGTTTGATGTAATCAAAACTATGCAAATTGGAAGACAAATAAATTTTACAACCTGATGATGTGTTCAGGTTGGTATGAAGTACAGTACAGGTGGTACCTTGCAATTTGACCCTAATCTGTTGCCAAACTAGGGTAAAATTGCAAAACACTCTGTGAAATTTAAAAATATAAGTTTAAAAATGCAAAAGAAATGGCCAGAGCAGGTCAAAATGTGGGGCAAGGGTCAAATTAATCGTTATATTGGCCATTCTAGAACATATTTTTGTAATTTTAGGTTCTTGATGCTTCTGAGTTTTATGTCCAATCTTTTTGCATAACCAAGTGGGAAGAAATATAAATTTTATAACCTGTGTTTTGGTTGCATGGTAATAATGTCTATATTATTAGAAATCATTGCATTGTGTTGCCCTCAGCAGTTCAATACATTTCGTCAAAGCTTTTGTTTTTGACATGCATTGAATAATGTTTATACCAGAGTCGATATTTTCATCGAAAATTCTTTCACAATACTGTATTCACATTTCTCAAAAAATCAAACAAACGATACAGTGTTCATACCGAGTAACAATTGATGCACCACTCATCAGTTCAACCTGCATGATAACACTGGTTTCAGCGAACCCAGCACTTGCAGCAAAATATCCTGCCCTTTTTCAGCAACATTCTGCTTAACCGTGGTACCCGTAGTGAACACAGTCGTGATACTGGTACGAGTAGTAGTACGGATATCCGCAGTTGTGCTGGGTACCACCGGTATTTTTCTGACGCAAGAATATTCTAGCAAAGAGCCGGAAAATGGCGCCCCCCAAGGTCTCGTATCTTCCCAATTGCGCATTCATCGGTGTGTCAAGGTTACCCGGTGAATCCATCGTCCCAGGGTCTTCATCTTTGGCGACTTGCCGTGATTCCAACTCTGTTTCTTGCTCCTGATGGGTTCCGTCTTCTGGTGTCGGTGTGGCCTGAATGATTGAGCAGATTCCGACGAACAGTGCGAAGTACACGACGATTCTCGCGAAGCTGTGCATTTTAGGCGCTATCTGTATTCTGCAGAATAGAGACCGAAGAAATATAATGAGTGCATTATTACGGCGGCCGCATGATTCATGTCCTGCGCAAAGATATCAGTTATACGCTACAAATATAGGTACAGTAATTAAATACAGTAGTTTCAATAAATGAGCACCGAAGAGAATATTGCATTATTTAGCAATGAGACTTGCCCTGATCGTCAATCATGGGTTCGAATCAATAAATATATTCGTCTGCGATGCAGCACGTGTGTAATGGCTATATGTGATCGCGAGAATGTGTTACGTGATCAATTAGTGGAACGATCGCTCGAAATCTGAGCAAAATTTCGATGATCAATATTCGCTTTTTTCGCCAGGCGTGTCATTTTTGAAGATGCTATGGAATGATACCGAACAGTATTTTTTGCAGCGGACGAGAGACGAAGTTAAGAGGATTCTATGTAGCTGGTGTGAGGATGACGCATGGGCAAAGAAGATCACGACACCACGAATATATATTTCTGCTTTACACCAAGAACTTAAATCAATACTGAGTCGCGCATCGCTACGCTTATTTACTGCGTTGATCCGAGCTTAATTTGCATTATCTGTAATAATCATGAGGGTGAGGGAAAGAGTTGGAAATAAAAAGATCTGCTGGTAACGGGAACGCTAAGCAAATGATTTCTGTGCATAGTTAAGATCGAGAAGGCAAAATTCATGATTCATCTTGCGCGAATACATATCATTAAGGGAAGGATGAAGGCAGCATCATGGAACACACGGAGAATTACAGTCTGCCGAAAAATATATAGTCTTCGGTTCCCTTTTAGATTTGTATTATTTTTAATTATGAATACGGAGGGAATTTGTATGTGTTATGCAGTGAAACGAACGTTCAACGAGATTGTGAGCGAATGATGATCGCGAACTGTCTTCAGTCATGACCCTTATTTTCGCGGCATGGTGGATATTCGATGATTGATACGATCTGATTCAGGCAGTAGGATGGTTCAAAAGATAATGTACGAAAGATGATCGCAATAACACAACGTAATCAACGATTCCAGCTCGTCACTGAGCTCACTGAATATGCTAGGGGGAAATCTCTGCTTCGAGTGATGGGGCTTGTCGTCTTCCCTCGTTTATACTTCGTTGCTCTGACCTGAAATCCGTCTGACGATGTGCATCAATAAGTGGGACAAAGAGGGAGAGTGTGTAATGAAGCACTTAACTGTGGCTGATGCACATGGTGAAAGCGCCGTTTCTTCTTCTGTTTGCAACGCATATCATTTTTTTTTTTTACAAAAATGCCGATCAAGACAGAGTTTTTGTTATCCTTGCTCGCGCCAACTCGACGATGTTTTTTTTTTTTTCGTTTTATGGTCGATGACACGATTTTTCTTCTGTATCACTAAACGACATTGCGACATGTGTCTTGCTGCGCATTTTAGCTACATGGTGAATTGTTCGTGCGTTGCAATTTGTATGCTGTAATTTGTCCCTCTAAGTCTATACGAATGTTTTCTCGGGGTATATCACGTAGCACGCAGACAAAGAATAAGAAATGATCGAAGAAACCCTTCGGAAATGGGTTCCTTCTCCAATAACACGGTTACCCATCCATGGAGCTGGTACATTTTTATACCAGCTCCATGGATTTTGCCTCAGCAACGAACTTGAGGAATGAACCTATAGTCGAGTACGAAGTCGACAGAATTAAAAATTATAAAAAAGGGGTTCTCCCTAGGAAATTCTAAAAATGACGTAATTTTACGATTTTATGCCTGTAATATTGCCAGATGGGGAGTACAAATTTGAATAAAACTGGAAATTAAAATCCTGAGGCAATTTTATTTTTCTTTGCGCTTTGATCTAATTTTTCATGTTTTTCATATCCAACTAAAATTTATCGGCTATGAATGTCTTATTTGAATCATTGTCTGTTTTTTTTATCTTTTCATGCATTTTCCTTCATTTTAATTTATATATTTTCGCTCATCCTGGGACCAATTGAATGGTTTCTCAAAGGTTACTATTGGAAATGGTGCCTGTACATAACGTGAACGCTTTGAGCAATTATCATACTACATTATACAGTAATGGATTGGATGTGGTTTCTTTTCTGAGAGTGCGTATTGTTTATAGCAATATACTGTATAATTCATACAGTATTTATTTTTCTTCAAAACCCTGTACTGTGAAGTACA